ACTCCTATGAAAGAAATCAGTGGGATCAAGGAGGGATGCAATTGTCATCTCTGGTGTACTTCCAGTGATGGAAGTAGAAGAACCCGATTCTACAACCTCCAGAGATAAGGTTGGACAGTGCTTCTAACTAGCTACAGGTTTTGGGATCTGTGGCCAAGATGCCCTCACTGAGTGAGCATTTTTAATCAAGGACATATATACCGCGTTTCCCCGAAAATAAGACTGGGTCTTATATTAATTTTTGCTCCAAAAGACGCATTGGGGGTTATTTTCTGGTTAGGTCTTGTTTTCTGGGAAATACAGTATTAAATACATCCATCTGGTTGACAATCTTAACTGGGTCTTATTTTTGGGGTAGGGCTTATATTATGAGCATCCTGAAAAATCATGTTAGGGCTTATTTTCCAGTTGGGTCTTATTTTGGGAGAAACAGGGTGATTGAGAATTCCACTTCTTCTTAACCGCACTTGAGGGTTGGCCTTTTCTATAACGAGTATTGCACAAGACAGAATCTCTAGACTTCCTTGTCCTGCTTATTTTGCCCAGACTGTGGCAGTAGCTACTTCTGGGGGGGAAAAAAGAACTAAACCATATATACCTTTAGAATTAGCACCCAAAGCCCAAGAAAACAAGTATTAGAACACAGCAACCTTATTTGATGAATACTGCTTAGGCAGCCAACATAACTGCACCGAACTGGAATATTATTAACTCGTTAAGAAATGAATCCACAATTGATAAAAAAAAAAGAGAAGACCTGATTTTGTTTTTTAAATTCTGCCAAAAACCTGGGCTTGCAAATCAAGTTTCAAAAGGTTGAAAAGAAATAGCAATTAGAATTCCAACCGATAGGGATTTCAAGGCGATCTGAATTGATCTGCCATCAACGAAAACCTAAGCATTACCACCCAGAAACAAAATCCTTTTTAAAAAATATAACTCAGTGGGAAACCAGTACAAAAGGGTCATAACACAACTCTACCCTTTCCCGTCCATCTCTAGTTATCGTTTAGATTTTATTCAAAGCAAAAACAAAACCCACATTTAGACCTGTCACAAAAGATCAAATTCTGTGGTCCAGCTTATAAAATAAAACTTAAGGAACCAGGGCACAATTCTTGGATTCTGCTCCCGTCTCCTTTTCTATCGCCTTTGTATGAATTCTCACACTTGGTGATTCAAAGAGATAGCACCCTTCCTTCCATAGAAGGAAAACCCTCAACCTTTCAAGCAGCTCGCCCAACAGGGACCATAAGGAAGCGAGATCTGGTGATGCGTGTATTTTGGATATCATTGCGGGCATCTGCGATGGACTATCGAAAAGGACAACATGATTGTAATGATTCTTCAGGGGCAATCAGGCGTCACACATTTCCAATCATCCTTTAAGGGTTGATTTCAAAGGCTTCCTGGATGGAATTAGCCGCCATCGCATCCTTCTGGCATGCTTACCAACTCAATTAGTGCTCTACAGACCGCACAACACGTTCTGTTCTAATTTAAACTCAAGGACCACAACCAAGTTCCTTCTGTAGTTTATTCCTAGCCGATACCAACATTTTGCATTGATTATCTTTGTCGAGTGGCCATTCCAAACAAGGACCAATCTATGCAGCTCCTTCAGTAAATTCCATTTCTCCGTTATGATGAGATCACATAATAAGATCACCCCCCAAAAACAGAAAAGAAAAGAAAAGGAAAACAAGATAGAAGAATTGCCACAGATATAGTTTTGTGCTTTTTCACCGCAGAGTGGGAGGGAAACCAAGGGCAATAGCTTTATCAGAGCAAAATATAACTTTGGCTTATTTTCAACCGGCGGCATAGAACGAGTGTACCGTAAGTCAATAATAATAACAATAATAATGAGAATGATAATAATAATAGCAACAAAAATGCCAAATCCACCCTAAACATCTGGCTAACTATGCAACCGACCATAATAACAGCTTTGAAATAACTGTGGTTTCTCGAGAAATCTTTTCAAACACCACCAAAGGCTGGGAAACCAATTTTTGGGAAGAACATGGTGCCCTGGGTCAATTAAGGAAGCATTTCCATAAATTGAAGTCGGCCGTCCACAAACCACTATAGAGAGACCAGGGTTCAGAGAGGTTTATTAGCCATTATCATATTTTTTTTTTTTATGACTAACTTGAGAGCTGCAGAGAAGGTTGTGTAAGCCGAAGCGTGGAAGAATATAAAAAAAAAAAAATCAAGGATTTGTGTCTTGATGTTCCTTCTACTTACTGCTTGAGAGTTTTGATCTTCCATTCATGGATGAAAGATAATAAACACCCCTCATCTGTCAAGACCTTAGCCAACGTTACAGGGAATCTGGACCCGCTAAAATATCAGTTCTAGAAACCCCAATAAACTCAGTAACCTCAATGCAGGATTATCTGACTCTGAAAAACATAAGGGACCAATCAAGGATACAAGTGTATTTTCCACAATGCATTTGAAAGAAAGAAAGATCACTGTTATTAAATAAGAATTTTCTCTCTCTCTCTCTCCCCCCCCCCTTTTAACAACTTGGCAATCTGCAGCTGCTAAAACAGATGGCTATTTCAGAAATAGCTCTTCTCCGAGACTCTTTGAACTGCAAGAAATCCAATGCTTTTGCGAAGCCGTTGGCCACGGGTGGGGGTAAGGGACACGGGCGGAGAATCAAGATGTTGTAACTCTGAATGAATTTAACAATGTGACCAAGACTAGATCATGTGAAGAAGCAGTAAAATACCCAAATTGTCATTTTGAGAACCATGCGCAAAGTTTAATTCAGTGTTACTCCCTTTAAGCATATTCTTTCCCCCCTCAAAGCATATCAGCCCAAGAACTCAATTTTGTAATAATACTAATAATAACTGTCAGGACAAGCATATGGTTTGGCTTTTTTTTCTTTTCTTTCTTTTCTTTTTTCTTTCTTTCTTTTTTCCTCTCTCTCTTTTTCATTCCTCCCTCCTTCTTCCCTCCTTCTTCCCTTCTTCCCTTCCTTCCCTTCCTTCCTTCCTTTCATCTCCTTCTTTCCTTCCTTCCTTCTTCTCTCCCTTCATTCCTTTTCTCCTTCCTCCTTCCCTCCCTCCATTCCTTTTCTCCTTCCTTCCTTCTTCCTTCCTTCCTTCCCTCCATTCCTTTTCACCTTCCTTCCTTCCCTCCCTCCATTCCTTTTCTCCTTCCTTCCTTCCCTCCCTCCATTCCTTTTCACCTTCCTTCCTTCCTTCCTTCCCATTTCTTTTTTCCTTCCTTCTTCCTTCTTCCTTCCCTCCCTCCATTCCTTTTCACCTTCCTTCCTTCCTTCCTTCCCTCCATTTCTTTTCTCCTTCCTTCCTTCTTCCTTCCCTCCCTCCATTCCTTTTCACCTTCCTTCCTTCCCTCCCTCCATTTCTTTTCTCCTTCCTTCCTTCCTTCCTTCCTTCCTTCCTTCCTTCCCTCCCTCCATTTCTTTTCTCCTTCCTTCCTTCCTTCCTTCCTTCCCTTCTTCCCTCCCTCCATTCCTTTTTTCCTTCCTTCCTTCCTTCCTTCTCTCTCTCTTTCCTTCTTTCTCTCTCTGTCTCTCTCTCTCTCCTTTTTGGTTTTAAAACGCAGGGCTTTTTTCTTGTTTTGAGAAGACTCAGAAAGAGCACTTTTCTCAACAAGAGCCAGCCTCCGATGCATCAAAGTTTAAGACCAACAACAACAACAACAACAACAACAACAACAACAACAACAGGGGTGGTGAGGGGGGGGAAGAATTAAGCCAGGCTTGTTTGTGTTCTTCAAATTCCAGCAGACAGCATTTCTCAACAGATCTTGCCATCGTTTTTTCATTTTCCCACTCCAGGAAAATCCCCTTCCTAACAATCAACACTCTTTAACATTCTGCAGAATCAAGAACGGGGTCAAACTGCCTGATCTAATTTCTCTTCCACACTGTCACAAAAACCAGGTCAATATTATTATTTATTTATTTATTTATTGGCATTCGCAGGCAGTTGATCCCCATAACTAATTTACTGTTTGCTGGGGTTGGTTTTTTTTCTTTTTTCTTTTTTCACCCCTTCCTGAATCTGAACTGACGACTGCATATTTATTTATTTAGATGCCCAAGGGATGCTAATCTTGTAGAGGCATTTGGAGTGCATTTTAAAGCATGCTTTTTTTTGGGTTGTTGGTTTTTGGTTTTTTTTTGCAAAATTCTTCTTTTCTTTCTTTTCCCGTCTCCTCCTCCTCCTCCCCTTCCATGCGCTTCTCCCCATCATTTAAGTAGAAATAAAACCCTACTTCTTCCTCCCTCCCTCCCTCCCTCCCTCCCTCTCTCTCTCTCTCTCTCTCTCTCTCTCTCTCTCTCTCTTTCTTCTCTCTCTCTTTCTCTCTCTTTCCCCACCCCATCTATCCCCAGCTATCTTTAGAAACAGCGTTCCTGATAGAGATACGTTACCCATCCAACGTTCAGGGGCTTTTTGGGGGGAGTGGGGGAAAGAAAGAGAGAGAGAGAGAAGAGAGAGAGAGAGAGAGAGAGAGAGAGAGAGAGAGAGAGAAGGCAGTCAAAGCCGGGTGGGGTGTGGGATGGAGGGGGGGGAAAGAGAAGAAGGGGGGAGATGGACGCGCAAACACACACACACACACACACACACCACACACATTTACACACCCATCCATCCATCCATCCACCCGCGCGTCGGAACCCAGGCAAAGAATTTGCAAAGGGACGAAAAATCCTTCCTTGCAACGCCCCCCCCCGCAAGCCCCCCCCAACCATCGGCTCGCGACCTCCGCTTAGTTGCCTCGGCGGGAGCGAAAGGGGGGAGTGGGAAGGCAAAAAAGAAAAAGAAAAAGAAAAAAAATAAAGGCTTTTGTTTACGGAGCCCCTCCAGGAAAGCACCACGGACCAGTCGTCCCCCCCCCCAAAAAGAAGAAGAAAGAAGGAACCCCCCCCCCCAAAAAAAAGAAGAAGAAGACCCCCGTGAGGGGAGGGAGAGAGGGAGGAAAGCCCAGCCGGGGTTCAAGTCAGTACTTACATTCTGTCAGAAACTAACAGGCGGCTGTCGACCATCATCTCTGGCAGAAAATCCAGCTTGAATGAAGAAGTCATGTCCCTTCCCTTCTTTTCTTTTCTTTCTTTCTTTCCTTCCTTCCTTCCTTCCTTCCTGTCTTTCTTTTTCTTTTCCTCCTTCTCTCTCTCTCTCTCTCTCGTTTGGATCAAAGGCAACCCCCTCCCTTGGCTCTATTCCTGCAACCCCTTTTCTTTCCTTCTTCTCCTCCTTCTTTTTTTTTCTTCTTCTTCTTTTTTCTTCTTCTGCTCTCCTTCTTCTGCACGCCGCTCCGGCTTTCGGCCAAAGAGGAGGAGGAGGACGGCGGCGGCGGCGGCGGCGGCGGCGGCTCCTTGCTGGCTCGGCGGCTCCGACAGCAGCAGCTCTCCTCTGGCCACGAGACAGGTGCGGGAGGCCTCCCAAGGCAACAGTGAGAGCCGCCACTTGTCACATTCTCTCCCCCTCTTCGCCTCCGCCAGCCCCGCTCTGGACTCCGCCGCTCGGCAACTGTCTGTACAGCGCCAGGTGCTGAGAACGGGAGGCGGAGTCCCTTTTCTCCCCCCCCACCCACTGCAGCGAGATTTTAACCCCTCACGCCCCAAAAGGGCCGCCCGCGCCCCCCACGTCTCCCCGCCCGACAGGCAGCCCTGGGTTTCGACGGAGGAGGAGGAGGGAGGAAGGAACGAGAGGGAGGAGAGAGAAGAGGAGAGGAGAGGAGAGGAGGGAAGGGAAGGGAAGGGAAGGGAAGAGAAGAGAAGAGAAGAGAAGAGAAGAGAAGAGAAGAGAAGAGAAGAGAAGAGAAGAGAAGAGAAGAGAAGAGGAAGGAGAAAGAAGGAAAGGGAGAAAGGAAGAGAAGTTGAAGGGGAGAAAGGAGAAGGAAAAGAAGGGAGGAGGAGGAGGAGGAGGAGGAGGAGGAGGAAAGAAGGAATGAGGGAGGGAGAAGAGAAGAGGAAGGAGAAAGAAGAAAAGGGAGGAAGGAAGAGAAGTTGAAGGGGAAAAAGGAGAAGGAAAAGGAGGAGGAGGAAGGAAAGAACGAGAGGGAGGAGAGAAAAGAGAAGAGGAAGGAGAAAGAACGAAAGGGAGGAAGGAAGAGAAGAGAAGAGAAGAGAAAGGAGAAAGGAAAGGGAGAAAGGAAGAGAAGAGAAGAGAGAAGAGAAGAGAAGAGGAAGGAGAAAGAAGGAAAGGGAGGAAGGAGAGAAGAAGTTGAAAGGGGAGAAAAGAGAAGGAAAAGGAGGGAGGAGAGGAGGAGGGAGGAAGGAATGAGAGGGAGAAGAGAGAAGAGAAGAGAAGAGAGAGAAGAGAAGAGAAGAGAAGAGAAGAGGAAGGAGAAAGAAGAAAAGGGAGGAAGGAAGACAAGTTGAAGGAGAAAGGAGAAGGAAAAGAAGGAAGGAGGAGGAGGAGAAAGAAGGAATGGGAGGGAGAAGAGAAGAGAAGAGGAAGGAGAAAGAAGGAAAGGGAGAAAGGAAGAGAAGTTGAAGGGGAGAAAGGAGAAGGAAAAGAAGGAAGGAGGAAGGAAGGAACGAGAGGGAGGAGAGAAAAGAGAAGAGGAAGGAGAAAGAAGGAAAGGGAGGAAGGAAGAGAAGAGAAGAGAAGAGAAGAGAAAGGAGAAAGGAAAGAAGAAAGGAAGAAAGAGAAGAGAGAAGAGAAGAGGAAGGAGAAAGAAGGAAAGGGAGGAAGGAGAAGAAGTTGAAAGGGGAGAAAAGGAAGAAGGAGGGAGAGGAGGAGAGGAGGAAGGATGAGGGGAAGAGAGAGAAGAGAAGAGAAAGGAAGAGAGAGAGAAGAAGGAAAGGGAGGAAGGAAGGAAGAAGTTGAAAGGGGAGAAAGGAGAAGAAAAAGGGGGGAGGAGAGGAGAGAAAGGACGGAGGAGGGAGAGAGAGAAGGAAGGAGAGAGAAGTTGAATGAGAGAAAGGAAGGGAAAGGAAGGAGGAGGGAAGTTTGAAGGAAGGGGAAGGAGAAGGAAGAAAAGAGAAGAGAAAGAGAGGAGGAGAGAAAGAAAGAAAAGAGAGGAAAAGGAAAGAGAGAGAGGGGAAGAGAAGGGAAGAAAGGAAGAAAGGAGAAGGAAAAGGAGGGAGGAGAGGAGGAGGAAAGAAGGAACGAGAGGGAGAGAAGAGAAGAGGAAGGAGAAAGAAGGAAAGGGAGGAAGGAGAGAAGAGGTTGAATGGGGAGAAAGGAGGAGGAAAAGGAGGGAGGAGAAGGAAAGAAGGAATGAGAGGGAGAGAAGAGAAGAGGAAGGAGAAAGAAGGAAAGGGAGGAAAGAGAGAAGAGGTTGAATGGGGAGAAAGGAGAAGGAAATAGAGGGGGGAGGAGGAGGAAAGAAGGAACAAGAGTGGGGAGAGAAGAGAAGAGGGAGAAAGAAGGAAAGGGAGGAAGGAAGAGAAGTTGAAGGGGAGAAAGGAGGAGGAAGGAAGGAAGGAAGGAAGGAAGGAAAAAGGAGGGAGGGTGGGAGGGAGGGAGGAGGAGAAGGAAAAGGAAGGATAGGAAAGGGGAAGGGGAGGAAAACGGAAAGAAAAGTAGAAAGAAGGAAAGGGAGGATGGAGAGTGGAAGTTCAAGGGGAGAAAGGAGGAGGAGGGAGGAAGGAAGGAAAGAAGGAAGGGGAGGGGAGGGAGGGAGGGGAGGAGGAAGAGGGAAAGTGGAGGTAGAGGAAGAGGAGAGGAACAGGAGGGAGAAGGAGAATGAGAAGGGGAAAGAAGAAGAAGAAGAGGAAGAAGAAGGAGGAAGAGGAGAAGAAGAATCTTCCTAAATTTGGTTCTCTAGGTTGGGTTTTCAAGGGAGAACAGCCTCTAACTCTGGAAGGACTGCAAAGCAGCCAGGGGTCTGGACTCTGCAAGAGGAACCCTCGGAGGGGAAGAATTTTAAAAGGTTGGAAAAACAAAACCGTCCTCAAGAGAAGCTTTTTCTTCACCCCTTCTTTCTCCCTCCTCCCTTTCCTTCTCCCTCTCTCTCTCTCACACACACAAACACACAATCAAACTGGTTCCTTTCATGGCGTGACTGCCTCAGTCCCTTTGCAAAACTCAGCTTCGTAGAAATTTAGAAATCAGGACACCAAAATCAAAAGCGTCTTTATGAAGCGAAGGGAAAGTGGTCATGGGCTGATTGATATCAAAAGGATGACAGGCATTTTGGGGGAGTGGGAGGGGGGGCGAACTTGGCCACGCTGCATGCCTCTCTTTAGGACCCTCAATTATACATGGATAATAAACTCAGAAACTATATTATTCGAGTCATAGCTGGGTTGAAAATCTAGTAAAGTTGTTAAAGAATGTTTTTTTTCCTCCGGTGTCTCAGAACATTTTAGCATTTGCTGCTTGAGATGATGAGACTAATGTTCTTAGAAGAAACTTGCAGCCAAGGCTAATTCGACAAGAAAAAAAAAATTGTCATTAAAGATTTTTTCAGACCCACAAATTTATGGTTCTGTTTCCAGGGAACTTAAATGCTGATTCCTGTACAGCATATACCAAGGAATCATGAAGGACCAGCAATTTCTATGCGGATCATTATAATAAATGCGGCTCCAATAATGAGACAGATCATTATTTTAAACAGATGTCTCTTTCCTTCGCATAAATTCAGCAAACTGCCTTTTAGAAAATATTATATATATATATATTATATATATATTCTCACCCCTCCTAATCAAAAAAACTATATGAAGCTTCACAATCCACCCAGTACGAGATTAGCCGAAAACTTTTTTAAAAATAGTTTTTCCCCCTCTCTTTTTATTTGGTTTAAAAACCAGCCGCCTTCAAAACAGTTCTTTATAGATGAATAGAACAATTTTCAACTAAACTGTAATTCGCCACCAACATTTCAATTCTTCATCCGAGCAAATTTATCTCCGTATGATTACATGGTTATAGAGTTGCAGGGAACATTATGTAATTTCAAAACGTAGGCTGAAAGTAACACTATTTTTTTTTTTTAAACAGCCCCAAAACCTTGCTGAATATTCCGATTGTTTCAATCTAATCCTGTAGCCTTTTGTTTTAACCGGAATTTGTTTGACCCTTCTTTGACCCGGTATCACTGGGATGCTAAAATCCCGAATTTTGCACCAGAAACCGCCAATCAAATGAAAACAGTGAGGTAAAAAACAAACAAACCTCGATGTGCCTTCAAGACCATCGGAAAACTATGGATATAACCTCCAATCAATCAACCAATTAAAATTAAAATTAAAAGCCCTTTAGCCTCAACTCATAGAATGGGGAAAAAAATAGAAATGAATGTTCTTTTGCGCACTGCCATATATGCACTTGCTTGTACGAATGGACGTGGAGGATTTTTATATCCGACATAATTGGCCAAATTAGCCGAAATACTTGATAAATTCCTGCAACAATGAAGCTGTGATACCATTAAGAGCTTCTCTGGTGCATTTATGTTCTACGCAGCGTTCTTCTATCTAAAACACTCGCTCCCGTATTTAAAAAAACACATCCTATGTGATAGTTTCATTGGCTGTTGTTACCAACCTGTATAAGTTATTTACTCGTACAGCATCGTCAATCAATCCATCAGTGGTCCTGTGGAACAATTTAAGCCTCAAAGATGGCTTAGTTGCTGCTTTGCAGAGTGTGGCATGTGGATTTTCACAAAATGAGGAACAGCCATGGGAGGAGATGGGAAAGGATGAACAAGGATATCGAAATAAATGTAATATTTATAAGGGCGCCATTTCCAAAGGTGTTGAGGCTATTGGGTTAAACCAAGAGCTTTCTCAGAAAGTTAGGAATTCAGTACTGCCTTAACTGTGCTGGACAAAAATCAGAGCAGAGGTGGGTTTCAGCAGGTTCTGACCAGTTCTGGAGAACCGGCAGCGGAAATTTTGAGTAGTTCGGAGAACCGGTAAATATCACCTCTGACTGGCCCTGCCCGCATCTATTCTCTGCCTCCCAAGTCCCAGCTGATTAGGAAGAAATGGGGATTTTGCAGTAACCTTCCCCTGGAGTGGGGAGGGAATGGAGATTTTACCATATCCTTCCCCTGCCACGCCCACCAAGCCATGCCATGCCCACCAAGCCACACTCACAGAACCGGTAGTAAAAACATTTGAAACCCACCATTGAATCAGAGCCTTCGCTATTGCCATAGCAAACATGATTACAGCGAGCCTATGGCACGCTTGTCAGAAGTGGCACACGGAGCCAACTCTCCAGGCACGCAGAGCCATTGCCTGTTGCTCCTCCGGGTTCCGGTGTGCTGGCCAGCTGGTTTTCATGCGCATGGGAGCGCTGGAAACCAGAAGAGCAGCAGCCCCGTGTGCATGCAGGAAAATGATCTTCCGGTTTCTGGCACATGCATGTGCACCGGCCAGCTGGTATTCTGGTTTCTAGTGCACATGAGCGTGAGAAGACCAGCTGACCAGTGCACATGCATTTGCTGGAAACCGGAAGATCATCTTCCTGGTGCATGTGTACTGGGTGGCTGCTGTTCCAGTTTCCGGCATGCGCACACGCCCCCATTTCGGCACTCGAATCCATGAGTTCTAATGGGTAATATACGTAATATTTATTGTGGA